AAGGAGCCCCCAGAAATAAGGATTTAGGGTGGTCAGTCCTAATTTGCTGAGGATATCCTCAAATGAAACAAAACATTTTTTCTTGGCTCAAATTTTGGTCACCCCTTTATCCAACCTCCTCTGTCATGCAGTAGTTGGTAAACTTCATGATCCCTGCTTTTGAATCTAATCTAAGAATGTCTACAAAGTTAATGGCATACCAAGTCCCAGCAGGCACATACTCTGATGATGCCTACTTTTTCCAAAGTTTTGAAAAGAGATGGTAAAATACGAAATGGTAAAGTCTGCAGACTTCTTAGGGTTAATTTGAGTTTTTGTGGGAGAAGAAGGGAGAATAATACAGTAAGAAATTAATTAATTAAATGAAAGCTATTCAACTCATGCTTAAGGTTAGGCACCCCATGGCTCAGCCCACGTAAATATTAGAATTCCTAGAAGAAAATATGACAATGTCATTCCTAGAAGAAAATATGACAATGTCATTCTTTTTAGAAAATCAGAACATACTGTATTTAAGACAGATGGTTCACATAAGACAATGACTTGTAGATAAAGTGGTCTTCTGCTTTACAGAAGTTAATGGCATACCAAGTTCCAGCAGGCATTTTAATTTTTTCTCCTCAAAATAAATGTACCAGGCATCTTAGTAAATGTAATAATTACAGCTCAATATTTATAATTATGACTTATCTATGAGTTGGCACCAAAGAACTGTTTTTTACCTTCTCTTATACAATGATCCCTTACGGTTTTCCAAAAAGACATGTACATATTTGAGGTGTCACAAGAAATTCAAATGTCATGTTGTAAGAGAAAGAAAAAAACAAAGCTTCTCAGTTAAGATACAAGATTTAATCAAGGACAGGAATCTTATCTGAATCAGAGTTTATATTTGTTCTAGTCTATACTGAATCTGTCTGATGATTCAATGTTAACTCCGAACGACTCAAATGCTCTCACAAAGTTATGGGCATGAAAGTTAACCTACTTTAATTAAGCCTGAGAACCGTTTGAAAATAAAGAATAATTTGAAATAATCTTCACTATGGATATTGGAGCAGCCTCCCCCCACCCCCAGAATTATTTCAATCGCTTTGAAATTAACCATCCCTAGGGAGGGGTGGGTGGAGGCACCAGCCCTCTGAATCTTACTGAAAATTAATCTAACCAGAGGCACTTCGCTGAAAGGCAGGAGAAGATGAGAAAAGACGATGACAGCGCAGAATATTCTAACTACTTTTCCTTGGGTCTGGCTCTTATGAAATGTATTAGTCACAAAAAGTATAGAAACATTTTCAGGGAACTTTCTTTCCTTGTACCAGCTAGAGAATTATGGAACTCATTAAATGATGCTTTTAGACTTCTGAAGATAGGTAGGAGGAAGAGATGAGGTGTGGATAAAGTCAAGAGTGAAGAAAAAAAGGGTATGAAAGGGGAAAACTATTATTTACTGAACAATTCCTGTGTGTCAAGACAACATTAAGGGCTTTTCATACATTACCTAATATAAATCTTATATCAACCAATAAGAAGGTTATTAGTATGTCCCATTTTATAGATGAAAAAGCAAAGGCACAGAAAGGTAAAATGATAAGTGATTTTTCCCAGGATCAGACAGTTATCTAGAAGCAACACTGTGATTTAAACTTGGTCTTCACCTACTAGATGCCTCCACTCTTTTTAAATATTACTCCAAAAAGTTTCCAATAATAATGAAAATTAACAATGAAAACTTTCAGGAAATGCTCTAAGCAGTGTTCCTACCCACATCTTCTACACACAATTTCTTGAATGTGATCAAAGTTAGTAATTCCACCCAATTTATTATTTGCCTTAGGCAGATTCAAATAAAGGCAGAATGTACAAATTGCAATGATGAAATGGTAGAAAATACACATTTAATAACTATTTATTCTTGAGAATGATGATGACAAAAGCTACATATTAGAAAATACAGTGTGTAATTTAAAATGAATAGTTTACTGGTTTGTTAGACGAAAAAACTAAACACTTGCTTAGGAGACAGTCTTGTTTCTTTCAGAATATGTTCAGTCAGAAGCAGAAGTCGGCCACGTGATGGAAAAGGCAATCATCAGGTGATTGAAGGGTCGGGACGGAGTGAGGCTGTGCATCTGTGTGTCTAAGACACTAGGAACCAATTCTCCATATTTATTTAAATTCAGTGTGTGAGTCCATATCTACACAACCATTATTAATCTATTTTTGCTCATAAGTGAAAAATTGGTGGGTCGGGACGGAGTGAGGCTGTGCATCTGTGTGTCTAAGACACTAGGAACCAATTCTCCATAATTATTTAAATTCAGTGTGTGAGTCCATATCTACACAACCATTATTAATCTATTTTTGCTCATAAGTGAAAAATTGGTTTATTTGTTAAGAATTGAAATGCAGGAAAGCGACGAACTAGCCAACATCAATTAAACTGTCAATCCCATTAAAAATGGGCTAATCTTAATATTTCAAGTATATGAGTTGACTATTTTATAAGCACAACAACCATTACAAAAATGAAAATTTCATATAAGCTTTGATAATTAGAAGGATAGAAAGCAGTTATTGCAGAGCTGCTTTATCTAGCTAAACTAACTAAACTAGCCCTCACTCAAAAAGGAATTTATTTCCTGACATAACCGGATTTTCCATACTTGCACCAATTGTACCAACCTACCCCTTTCTGCTTATGAAAAAATCAAATAGTTCTATTTAAATGACTGTGTAATTTGGAGGGAATGTCCTCCAAAGCATACATATGCACCCATTAAAAATCAGTATGGACAATTATAAAGGTACTTACGTATTTGGTTTCTCGACCAGCTGCTCTTGGAAGAGTTGTAGGCGTCTGTATGAAAATAAAAATAATTATGCTTCTAAAGCAATCAAGTAAATAAAAGATTCAGTTTCTGGGATAAGTGTTCACCTGTTTCTCTGTTGAGACTTTCTAACTATTACTCTCTCTTTTCTGTATAAAATTTCCTTTTCTTTGAAAATTATTTCATTAAACTATATCGCTTTATTATTCTTTTAATTGCTGTTATTTATCAGCTTTCTGGTAATTTCCCCTTATGTATTGATGATATTAATTCATGGATCATAATAGCTTTTTCATCACATTTCTTCCATAATTTTGGGCTATTTCAAAATTCACATGGAAATCTCTATCCTCTCAGTTCTTTGAATTTCCCAATTCTAAAGATATTCTCATCCACTCCATTTCAATCATCCATTCCCAGGACAATTCCTGGAACTTACCTTCTCCAATAAAACGGAAAATCTCTGAAATTTCACTTTCAAATGTCCCAGTCTCAGAACTCCACCTCCTATCCAGCATCATTATTTCTCGAGGACCCCAATGCAACATAATTTTCATTAGACTTCCAAATCATTGACCTTCACAGCTTCATTCTGGAACTATTACCTCTTAGCTTACATATATTTCATATTCTCAGTCATTTTAACACTTTCATTACTCTTCCTTCCCTCTCTTCTTGTAACAAATTCACTTGCAAAAACAAAACAAAACAAACAAACAAAAACCCTTAGAAGGGCCTTACCATCCATTCTTCTCCATACTTACACTTAAGAAGCAAAACATGGCTGGGGAAACACTCCCAACCAAATTAATTGATTTAATTTTAAATTAATTATGATCAACTTCAAAAATGTGCACTCACACTCAGTACTGCCTGATGAGCTCCAAATTTTTCTCTTGTAATCCCACTTTCTGAGATGAGATGGCTGCTTAATTCATTTATTTATTCAACAAATGTTACTTTGAATCCACTCTGTGCCTAACACTGTTCTACACCCTTGAGACTTATCAGTTAATAAAAGAG